AACAAAACAATGGCTTCCAAGAGGATCTGCTTGGCCAGTTAAATTCAAGGAAGGGAAGTCAGCTCAGAACTGTTTATGGACATTGTTGTTTGGGATTCCAAAGGAGTAATCTTTATAGATTTTTCAGGAAGGACACAGGAAAATTGGGGAATTATTAGGAAGGTTTAAGAATATGGAAAACGGTGTTGCTGACGAAAAAGGCCAGGAAAGTTGCACAGATGATTTTTTGTTATTGTTTTTTCCATCAGGTCAGTTCACCTGCTCTTTCTTCCAGGGTAGGAAGGGCTGTCATATGAAACTTTTGTCGGGAAACCTTGCCCTATCCGTCCCACAGTTCTGATCTTGCCTCTTCATACATCATTTTGTACCCACAACTCAAAGAACATTTTAAAGGAAAACTATTTGAGTCCCTGGAGGATACCTAAACTGCCATTTTGACGCAGTGTTAACAGAAAAGTGTAGAGTTATTTGTGGAAGACTCGTTAAGTGCTGTTGTGTAGGTTCTGACTGATAGCTACCATGTATAGGGTTTCCAAGGAGTGGCTGGTGGGTTTGAACCTCAGACCTTGTGGTTAGCAGTCTAGTGCTTATCCTATAGTGCACACAGGACTTAGAAAGATGAAAACACTGCCTTCAGAAGTGTATAGTTCTAGAGAGAGGATATGGTATGAAACAATAGCTTTAGATTTTGATATTTTTTAAAATAGTGGTTTCTATGATTTTGCTGTAATATTTTTTACTTACCCTCATACCTCAGGAAGGATTGAAAAGGAAAGGAAAAAGTAGCAAGAGATGACAGGCAACTAGATACAGATTTTTGTTTGCCTACTTTAATTTTTCAGAAACTCAAGTGTTTATCAATAAAGACTCACTTCCTTCACAAAACCTCATGGGGCTTTTGTCTTTCTCTGTCGTACCAGAATTTGGGCAGGTCTTATTTGTTATTAGGTTGTTGTTATAGTGAATTTGCTGGAGGTTTTTGCTGTTGTGACGCCAGGCATGAACCATGATTATCATCAGAATTTTCAGCGCCTGATTTTAGGAAGTTAGCTAACCAGGCTTTTATTTCTTTTCTGTTTTAGTCTGGATGCTCCACTGAAGCCTCCTCCATATCATAGCAAACTGCAAGCTTGTGACTGTAGGTGAGGTGAATTGTGCCTGGGTTTGGAATCAAACCCAGGACTCCCGTGGAGGGCAAGGATTCTATTTGTAAATCCCCAATTTTTATCTTATCATAGAATTCTTTAGTCCTGAGTCTGATATTCAATATGGAAAACTCAATACAGCACGCAGGGCTTATACAGTTCTGGAACAAACTATTTATGCCCCTGATGTTTAAATATCTTAATGAAAATCTAAAATTAGTTGAATTGTTATCTAAATCTCATGACATCCTCAATTATTCAAGTTAATATTTCCAGATACAATGCAATGTCCTGCATTTGTGTCTTAATTTAATCAAATATCAAGAAGGTAATAATTGACATCCACAAAGTACATGTGAGAAAATGTTTGAGTGATTTTAGACAGTCAAATAAATATATTAAGGATGTAGCATTGTAGGCTATGTCTACATGGAAATGTGAAAATACATAAAATGGATTGAAAGGAAGGAGCGTCTTTATCCTAGGAAGTCGTTCTGAGTAAAATAACTAAACGTTATAAACTTTAGACACTTATAAGCCAAGATTGAGGATATTTTGCTAAACCATCTTTCCAAGCCCTTTCAGGTGTATAGTTTTGATTCTGATTTCATTCCATAAAATATGTGCCTCTATTATGACATGAGAATTGGAGTATTGACAATTATGGCTGTCCATCAGTAAAACTTGAGTTACTTTGAGTCTGTCAAAGATACTATATAAGGAAGAGTAGGAGTAACAATTGTGAGGAAGGCACACGACTGGGCAGTGTTTCATTCTGTTGTACATAGGGTCGTTTTGAGTTGGAACCAACTTGACTTGACGGCATTTAAAAACAACTCAAAAATAGTCTGTAAATCATTACAATAGTTCTTTGCATTTCTTTCTTTAAAGATTAGTTTCTCTATTCTAAAAATAAATTCAGTCCAAAGATACCTACTCAACATGTGTATAGAAACAAAACTGGACAGTTTAAAACTGGCTGATGGTTCGGATCCTTTGAGAGGTAATTCGCTTATTTATTTATTTATTTAGCATTACTTTCTTAACATTTTACCCTCAAACTAAATTTTACATACAGTTTATCACTCAGAGGATAATCTTAAGATTCATGAAATCCATGCCCTAATTGAATTAGGTCAAGAACACCAATTCCCTAGTCTGTTGCAGATCTTTCTGGTCTATACTGCATTTAGGTTATATCTGCTTTAGTAGTGTTAAAATTTTATAGACATTGGATTATAAATTAAGTTTTTATTTAGTTTTTTAAATTATAACCTATAATCAGAAACCAAACCTGCAGGTACATTTTCTTAAAGTGTAAGTTAATCCTTTATGTATTATGCTTAGATAATTGGTGGTGATGGTAGTAAATAATTAGATGATTCCCCCCCCCTCCCAATAACTGGAAATAAAGTGGTATAACCTAGTGTATCATATTTCAACAATCACAGTATTTTAATTGGGAAAATCTGTTTACATGTGATTAAATTTTAAGGAGTGTCTTTATCTTAGAACCCAATAGTTATAAAGGAACATTCTTATCTTGAAAAAAATCACTATCTACCCAGTAAGGAGCTCTGGTAGCATAGTGGTTGGATTGGGCTGTGAACCGCAAGGTCAACAGTTTGAAACTACCAGCTGTTCCGCGGGAGAAAAATGAAGCTTTCTGCTCCCACAAAGAGTTACATACAGCCTTGGGAACCCTGTATAGGGTCACTATGAGTCGGAACCGACTCCACGGCACACATAACCAACAATCACCACCCAATAAATAAATAAAGTCTAAGACGTCTTCCTTTAAAAAAGTGATTTACTTCTGCCTTTGTATGTACACACACCCATGTACAAGTGCATGAAATGTAACAAGTTATGTCTTGCCAAAGCAAGACATGTGGGAGTCCAAGACATGTGGGAGTCCTGGTGTGGCGCTGTGAGTCAATGCACCAGACTGCAAAGCTGTTTGAACTGCAAGGTAGGCAGTTCAGGTTCATCAACTGCTCCTTGGAAACTCTATACAGGGTCGCAATTGACTCGACGACATTTAACAGCAAAGAAAAAAAAAATCAATTGATTTTCCAAACTAATTAAATCAATAATTTATTATTTTTAATTATTTTATAGGGATTTTGTTAAACTTTATTTGTATTTAGGACAGTAGTGATAATTCAAGTTTTAGAAGTTAGCAAGGTAGGAGCATAGCGTCTACTATCTTACTCTCTGCTCTAAGTGTCTAGTTCATGGACCACTAGGAGATTCCCACAAAGAAGGAGCCAGTCCTTCCTTAGTAAAACTCAATTCAAGGTTATCGCTCCCCCGTCCATCTTCCATTCGCTCTAGAAGCCGACTCATAACTCCCTAGCTTGACTCCTCTAACTTCTGGATATTTAACTCCGTCATGCCGCCTCTCTGGGCTGAGCTGTCCCCAACACGATGTGCCTGGGTGCTGGGAACTGCTTTGAGCAAGTCCCCCTTAACACTCCCACTCTCATGCCATGACCCCACCCTTCTAAGGGCTACATTCCTGACTTCCAGTTTCCACAATAAAACGTAAATTCCAGGCAAGTAGGGATTCGGTTCACTATTAGTCACTACTATCCCCATCGCCCTAACCTAGTCTGACTTACAATGTATTTGACGCATAGTAGGTGCACAACATACTTCAATGGGAGGGGGATGTATTGAGCAAAAGACAGGCTGGAACAAGGCTTAAATTCTGAAGATTGTTATTTACATGAGTACAGGAAAAAAAAAAGAAATTGAGAGAAAAAAGAAAAAGTGAGTACCAGATGATCATCATTACAGTTTATGATTGTTTTTAACTAACCTTAAGGGTTGCCAGTGGAATTAACAAGGCAGCAAACAGGGAATCTAGGCTGGAGGCTAAGGGATATCCGTTGCCCCAAATAGAGAGGCGCAGAGCCTCTGGCTGGATATGACACAACCTCTTGGGACCCGCCAGACGCAACCCGCCTCGGTAGAGCTCTGGGCCCCCTGTGCCCAGCCTCCCACTGCGTTCTTAGAGCCCTGGAGCATGCCCAGTGGCCGCGCCGGAGGTACCGAGGGCTTTCCTCGGGCGCGCTCCGATTCTCCGGGTTTTAGCAGGAGCCCGCGGGGGTCGGAGGGGTGGGGGAGCCCACGGATCCAGGCTGCCTTAGTGGAGCAAGTGAGGAGCTCGCGCGCAGCGCTGGGCTCCCTCCGGCGTTGCAGTTGCTGGGAGATGTTGGAGCGCAGCGCCAGGCTGCTCAACCTGGCGCGCTAAGCGCGGCGCGGGGCGCCCCCGGGGGCGGGCGGGGGGCGCGGACTGCGGTAGAATGCGAGCCGGGCTCCGCTGGTGCTGCTGCGAGACGTCGCCCGAGCTCGGTCAGGTGCCGGGTGCTTGCCTCCTGCCGCTCCACTAACTTGCATCGTGGTCAGGTCTGGTCTCCCAAACTCTCTATGCTCTGCAGTGCTTGAGTGCAGGCAAGTGGAGAGTTGGAGGGTCTGCGGAAGCCTTAGGAGGGGTCCTGTTGGGGGAGCCTGCCCGGTACCTCTCTTCTCCTTCCCTCCCAGTTGCTCCCCTCCCCCCACCCCGTCGCCGCTGCTTTTTCCTTCCGCCAATTCGGAGAGCGACGGGCGCTAGTGACATGCAATCGCTGCCAAGTGACGGTCCCCGAGTCTGAAGTGCCCGTGAGGAAGAGAGCGCCAAAGCGGGCCGCCGGCGATGACAGCCATGAAGCAGGAGCAGCAGCCCACCCAGGCGGCCAGGACGAGCCAGGCGCAGCCGGCGGACCAGGTGAGAGTTGGCAGCTGAGGCCAGGCCCTCCCGTGAGGGGCGGCTCTAGCCCGCGCTTCCCCCTCCGCTCCTCCCCAGCTCGGCTCCCACGCCTCCCTCCCCCCACCTCCGCCCCAATTCCAGGCTCTCCTCTGCTCACCCATGGACTCCGCAGGAAGTTGGAACATCTGAGTGCGCTCCGGGGCCGGGCGAGAGGATGCGCAAGGTGGAGAGCCGCGGGGAAGGGGGCAGAGAGGTAAAGGCTGGGGGTACCGCTGGAGCCCTGGTGGGCCGACCGCCAAGAGAGGGAGAGATGGGCGGCCCGGGCCAAGGAAGGAAGGGGGCCTCTTGGTCTGTATTCACGCTCGTTGGAGGGATAGATCGCGCGCCTGGAGCCATCTACTTGCGGCGTTCGAATCCGGTGCTCCCAGAGCTGGGACGCACGCTGACCCAAGTGACCGAGTAGGCAAATGACCTTTAGGCCGGCAGAGTTGTTTCTTTTTTATTATCTTGTAGAAAGCGGGAGTGGGCGGGGGAAGGGGTTCTGAAAATCGGTAGACGTATTTGGCTGAGTGGAAAGAATCTTGTAAAACAGGTATTTAGTATTAAGGAGAACAGAGAAGGTACTGGCTTTAGTGATTTGTTGGATTCAGATGTGTCTGCAAAGATAGGATGCCTTGTGTTGGTCGGGGTTGATTCCTATCTCTTTTCTGTCAATCTTAACACCCCCCTTCCCCATTTTATTGTTGTTGTTTAGGCCTTTAAGGATCTGTATTACAGCCATACCGGATGGATCTCCATGTCATCTCTTTCCTTGGATTGGGGTGACTCGGGAGTTAGGTGTTGTTTTATACCAAAGTTGGAGGGTAGGGAGCGCTGAGGTGGTCTGCCAAGGAGGAGGGAGGCTGTGAAGAGCTGGCTCTAGGTGTTGTCACATTTGCATCTGTTAGAGTCTCTGGACAGCTAGAGATGCTCTTAGGTCTACGGGTAACTACGGAGCAGGAAGACCGAGGTGCCAGGGGTACCGGAAATGGGGCATTCTCCTCCAATGTACTATGGAAGGTCACCTGACACGTTCCTGGTCGAGATACTCCAGGTACATTGCTAGAAGTGGGGTAAAGGGTTTACAAGCAACTAGGCTCCCACAAAGCCTCGGTTCTTCATGTATTTTAAGCATTCAGAAGTGTGTTAAGGGGAGCTGTCCAAATAGCCTTAGAGTAGCAGCAAGGAAGGGGGAGGCGATGCCAGAGATGCTATTATTAATATTCTAGTCTTGGTCATTTCTCCTGGCTTGTGGTTCTCTCGTCTTCCCTTCGGTTCCCTTCTCATTTCCCTCACATATGTTTCACACAGGTGGTGAGGTTTACTCAATGCCTTCAAGCTCCCTTTCCTTTACTGGGGTGAAATGTTGCAGTTTTTATAGAGTAGTTGTTTTCCTAAGCCATGATCTTTACTCCCAAACCTGAGATAGTATAAAAATATTAAAGCATCCTCCTCTTATACCGCTCTTCCACTAAACAGGCACCACAGGATAGCAGATGTATAAAAATGATTTCAGGAGAGGCCTTGGATTTAGCATCCTCTTTCAGGCTGACAGCCCTTAAGTTTCATTAACAAGCTGCTGAGCCTCTGTGCAGCTCTTGGAATGATGCTTCCAATAAGAATGATTAGTCAGATGAGAGTCCCCACCTGAAATCTTTGCCCACTAACCTGTGACACCAGCTGGTTACTTGAGGTGCTGCAAACAATTCGGTTGATGGTGAAAGTAGGAAGGCAGAAGCCCAGAGGCATGCACAGAAGCCGAAAATGTCTTTGTAAATAGTGGTCACATCCAATCCTTTTGTCAGGACTAATCTGGTACTTAAAATTCATAGGAAGAGATAGAGTAGAGCACGAATCTGTTTTTCTTGTTATTGTTGTGTGTGTATTTTTTTTTCTATGGCCACTTCAGGGAGTGGCCATTTCCAGAACTCTTGCTTTAATTGAGTATTTTAAAGTGACTTTCTGAGCATATACATGATTTTAAAATGTCAGTGGTGTGCATAACATGCATGAGTTAAAATGAAAGAGATTGATTTTTGCAAGGGAAATGAAAGTCAGACAGAAATATACACGTCAACATACCATTAAGGGTTTTCTAAGCACTCCCAGAAAATATATCTAGTGTATTCTTTGTCCAAAGTTTGATGTATGAAATGATGACCAAATAGTGTAGATGGCTACTTTGAATACTTAGATTACTTGCTATAAGACTACTATTTGCTTATTAACAGTCAGCATTAGTCATTATGGACTGATTCTGCAATGGTCTGACACCTCCCATGTGACCGTGGATATAATACTTCCATATAGACAGAATTGATTGCTCTGGTTTCTGTGAGACTTCAGAGGAAAAAAAAAAATGATTCACACATTTAAATAAAATGTAGCTTTATAAAATCCTACCTAATAGTTAAATAGAGTATGTTCCATCTAATCACTCACTATGTATTGATTTTGAATGATTTAAGATTTTGAATGCTGCCCAAAATGGTCTTTCACTTTCCATGGCAGACTTTTTATGAAACCTCAAAGACGTCTTGTCCTGAGGCCATCAAACACCTATTTCCACTTACAGCACAGTAGAAGACCATTGTTTTCACTCTAAGTGAAAATGGTCATGAACTATATAATCAGGTTGCTGTTGTGGTCCTTCTGAGAGCTGACCTTCCTTTGTGATCATCTGTGTCACAGGAGTCCTGCAACCAAAAGACCTCTCCCCACAGAGCAGTAGCAAATACATAGCAGGCATTGGCTACTTTCATAACGTTCTGAATCAAGAAAATACTTTTATTATTATAGTACTCATCCCTTTAAAGATACATAAAGTAAATGCTTAAGAGTTATTTTCATTGTTTTGATAACACTCCACAGTTACACAAATGTCTAAATGTAAGTAAATGTAGTCATTCTCACTTAACACGATCAATATCCCATATTAACATTGATGAATCCAAAAACTTGAGTGACTAATTTGAATTTAGTCTCTCTCTCTCTTTTTTCCCCCCTCCCAAATCAATACCTGTGTATCTGCTTTGTGTAAAGTACTGTTCTCAAGATTGATAGAACCAATCCATTCCCCCGTTACCCCCTAAAGGAAAACCCAAACCCACTGCCATACAATCAAGTCCAATTCATAGAGTAGGGCTGCTCCTTAGGGTTTCGTAGATTGTGAATCTTTATGGGGACAGTCTTGTCTTTATCACTTAGAGCAACTGCTGGGATGAACCACTGACCTTGCAGTTAGCATTCTGATGCTTAACCCACCACACCATCAAGCCTCCTCAGGGCTAATATGGTCATGTTTATTGAGTTCATTTTTCTAAATGATTTTTAAATCAACATTTCGAGGTAGAAAGGACTCTGTTATTCCCATTATAGAGGTATACAAAATTAAAGAAGTAACTTGACCGAGGACTTGAGACATTTATCATGTCTAAAGCTGTAGTTTTTTAAGTGCCGTCAAGTCAGTTCCAACTCACAGTGACGCTGTATTGAGTTTCTGAGGAGCGGCTGGTGAGTTTGAAACGCTGACCTTGCAGCTCAAACCAACCTATAGAGCCACTCCAGAACTCCATAGCAAAGAGTACAACTGCTCTTTAGGATTTCTGAGATTACAGAACTTTACAGGAGCAGATGATCTCATCTTTCTACCTTGGAGTGACTGGTGGGCTTGAACCACCAACCTTGCAGGTAGCAGTCTAATGGATTTGAACTGCCAACCTTGAAATGAGCAGTCCAGTGCTTATCCTACAGTGTCACACTATGAATCCTTTTTAACTAATACACAGTCACACTATCACATATTCTTATTACCAGAATAGGAATTGTATGTGTGTGTGTATTTGCGTGCAAATTTACTTTAAATGAAAAAAAAAAAAAAGGATGCAATACTTCTTTTCAGGTTCAAATATAGATTATAGCAGCTGAACCTTAAATTTTAAAGTAATGTCTCTACTGATTATATAATAATTAAAAAAAATAATAGGTCCTCATAAGCACATGGAAACGTTATTGTCATTATTATCCATACAAATCTTTGTATCACTTGTCCCTGAGAGCCATCAAGTTTTGTTAAATGAATGCAGTTTTTATTACAAAAGTTAAAAATTTGCCCACATTTCCACCAGGTGGCACCCTTCTGCTGAATGCAGTAGGTAAAATATTTCCTAAAATGCTTGACTCTTCTCTTAGTGCCCCCCCCCACCCCCCAATGAAACAAAACAAAACAAAAGGCAAACTCTATTTTCTGGAGTGTGACTAAAGTGTGTATTTTTATAAGCAAGCATTTGGTTGCTAAGAGCGTTACTTTTGCTTTTTTTTCTTTAGAAACACATTCTGGTAGGAAACTAATCTCTTGCATTTTAACTTGATAAAGTAATTCATGGTCAAATATTGTGATCAGGGATGTAACACATAAAATTCCTTCAGTTAAATATCTATTGTACTTCGAGCATTTAGGTAATATTAACATAAAATATTTCAATACAAAAATTTTGGGATCCAGTATTTTATTTCACCTTTTTCTGGAAAACTTGATTAACATTTTCAAATGTCTACTTAATAGAAATTTGCAAGAAAAGTTAAGTTCCCTTGCTTCTCTGACTAACACTTAAAGTTTCATAATTTATCTCTGTGTTGTTTTAATATAAAACCTTGAAAACAGCTTTTAGAAACTACATTTAAAACTTAAGAGAATATGTGTTATTTTTCATCTCAAGATTCAATAAATATATAACACACAATATCTAATTTGGGGAGAGTGTTATATGATTTGGACTCCTGGTGTGGCACTGTGTTGTGGGTTAATGTGCTGGCCTACTGGTAGCGTAGTGGTTACGAGTCGGGCTGTGAACCTCAAGGTCAGCCGTTCTAAACTACCAGCAGTTCTGTGGGAGAAAGATGAGGCTTTCTGCTCCCGTAAAGATTTACAGCCTAGGAAACCCTATCTAGGCTCACTATGGGTCCGAACTGACTCGATGACACTTAACAACAACAACAAAGTTTGAACCACAAGGTCGGCAGTTCAGACTCACCTGCCGCTCCTCAGAAACCCTATACTGGGTCATTATGGGTCTGAAGGAACTCAATGGCACTTAACAACAACTATGATTTGATTAAAATATGTAATTTAATTTAGATAAAGCATAATGCAGAAGTCTTTATGGTTTGACAAAAATATTCATTTCTTATTCTTCCTTAATTTCTTCATGTATA